CAAAACTGGCCTAGGCGGATTTTTCGAACACTCGACAATTTAGCGTTAAAATTGTCATAATCTAACAGAAGTTAACATGCTTTCGACAGATATTCACCAATACAATGCTATTCAGTTGCAAAAATACCTTTTATCAAAATTCAAAAACCAAAAATATAAAAACACGATTCATAAAATAGCAAATTTGACAAACCCACTAAACAACAATGTTCAGGGATCATAAATACTAAACAGAAGAAGAAGAAGAAGAAGAAGAAGAAGAAGAAGAAGAAGAAGAAACGCAGGGAAGTGCAGCGAACACAACAGGAACAGAGTGATACCTCCGAGTCCTCTGCTGCCTCTTATTAATTTGAAGAGCTGAGACCAAAGACTGCTTCTTTAACCTTGAAAATGACTTAGAAGAGAAGAATTGAGAGTGGGTGAAAGCTAGAGTTTGATTCTTGTAACATCTTGGAGAGTGTGGGGTTATGCAGCATAGGCTCTGGAACATAACTGAGCCAGCCATCAATATCTTTCTCCAATTTGATTACTTTACGCACACTAATTAAGAGCTGGAACCGCCATTTTAGCTTTCACCCAGTGAGTCTCTCACTTTCTCTCTCAGCCTCACAAACAGCTATTGCTAACCTAGTTATGGCTGAATTTGTTATTGATTTACAGAGCTTGGTATATTGTTTGTGCTGTTGGAGAGAGAGAGAGAGAGAGAGAGAGAGAGGAGTTTAGGGCGAGGGTGGGATAGGAGGGATGGATTGTTGTGGGCTGTGGCCTTTTGGTTAGGAAGGGGGCTGTCATTCCATGCAGGTTATAAAATGATATGGTACTATTGGGGTTATATTTTCTTGTTGCAATTAATACATGTTGATTTTATTTCTTAATTTCTAGGGTGTAGAAGTTGATTCGATTTGGGTATATTATTAATGGATAATACTTATTGCTCTGTTCTTTTGCTATTTGTTTTACCTTACAATTTGAGTATATTATTGCTGGGGGTGAGAACTTTGGATTTTATTTTTTTGGCATATGTCCTCCCCTGAAGGTAATTGTTGAGCTGATGGGTCTTATAGCTTCTTTGTTTTCACTTTATTTCCTTTCATTTGATTAAATGCAGTTCCTTTCTTTTGAGTAATCACTTTATCTCCTTTCATTTGATATGCTCTTCAAACTTTTATGGAACTGCAGCGTGTCATTTGGAGTCCATGGAAGGAGAAGGAATGTTGTGGGAGATGGATGGTACATCTCTTTGAGCTTGTTTCTCTAATGTTTTTACGGGTTCAAGTTTGTCTGGCAGTTTATTGCAAGAATGGAAGACAACTATAATTTGGATTGGATTTCTTTAGTTTCTTTTTCTGGTGCCTAGATTGAAATAGCTATTTGCCTAGATTCAAAACTTGCCAATGCATTTTGAATTTACTCAGTTTGCTACTTGAAAACTTGGAATTCTCCTTTTATTGATCCCTTTCTTTCAAAGAAAGTTAGTTCATTTGAGGCACAACATAATGAAAACCAAACAAGAATGACTTAACAAGGCCCATTTTGAGCACAATTTGGGCCAAACACATAGACAAAGATTTGAAGCAAACTGATCTGGCTTGCAGCTTGGTATATATAACTAACTTACTTGTGGCAACTCATTTTGCTCCTCGGGTTTCATTGTGAATCAGGCAATGATCATGTTCAGATATTCTTTCAATTTTTCATACGCTTGAACAACTCCTCCAACCGCACTTGTAAACAATGTTTTGACGTATGGGGACGCGTAAACAACTACAAAGCTCACAAACCAAACGACCCAAAAGAATAGGGCACCTAACCCTAAATTCGGGACAAGGATCACCAATTCCAAAACCAAGGCAAGAGCTCCAAAAAGGAGGCTAATGTTACTCATGAATTTTGCCAAATCTAGATTAAGGTCAGCGTAGAGTATGTATGTAGAACCAATCAACGTGCCTTTGTAAATTATTAGAGCAACAATAAGGATCACAAGAGTCAGGTAGTCTGTGTCAAATAGAGATGTCGTTCCAGCTGCCTGCTTCAGTTGGAGGAACACGCCTAGCATGGTGATGAGAGAAACTATATATTTATGTTCTTTGCTTGTGCTGTTACAATTAATGAGAAAATGTTATTGGCTTTGCAATAAAGGATTATTTATATTATATATGCAATCTTTAACAAGTAAGAAAAACTATGATGAGCAGTATTTATCAGAATAAATAACAGATGATAGCTAGAAATTAATTAATCCGGAGATATATACAGTACTCCTAGCTGGCTGCTATTTTCTTCCATGCTAATGAATAATAGATCTAGAACTCACATCCAATATGAACATAACTTTCTTTTAATAGCATAAGAAATGAAAACCAAAACAAAGAGAGTTGAAAGGACGATCTGAAAGAAAGAGAGAGAGAGAGACACTAGAAAATAAAAAATGAGGCGGATAATTGGAGATTATGAACGACAAGGAATTACTTCCCAAAGTGAAAATGGGGGAGCTAGAGGGAGCCATGAGAACTCAGTCCAACATGGAAAAAAATTGACATAATTCTTGGGAAGTAAGAAGGGAGGGAGGTCTCCTAAATAAAAAGAGAGAGAGAGAGAGAGTATTTTTTCCACAAAGACCGCCCAAGCACCTCAACCACCAAAAGTCTTTCTCATGAAATCACGCGGGGCTTCCATATTGATATTATATATAGATTTTCTCTTATGTGGACGTTCGTATGTTATGTGGTTTTTATTATCTCTCTACTTTTCTATTTGTTTTAAATGACGTCTATACGATAATAATATGCGGAACTAGGATTAGAACTTTTGTACAGGGAGTAACTAGGATTAGAACTTTGTGGTAGCCAAAAATTAACATGTACCAAACATATTTGAGCAAGAAGAAAAAAAAGTGTAAACTGCATTGAGAACAAAATATTATGCAACAATTTAAAAACTGATCATTTGTAATATTTATACTTGAAAAAAAAAACTCATTTTGAAATATATGAAATATTTTAAACCTTTTTGGCTAATTTTATGACTAAAACTAAGATTTAGCAACTAAATCTTTTCTAGTATAGTTTTTATTTTATTTTATAAAAATTACTATTTACTAAAGCCTAAAAGAGAGACAAAAAAATCAGCAAAGAAATGTGAATAACTTGATATTATTACTCATATGGGAAGGTTAACTTAAGACATACAAATTTCTGTCAATATTTTACGTAATATTACATTGACTTACCAAAAAAATGGGACTTTTCCTTAGAGCACTTACGCGTATTTCCTCTTTTTTGTATTTTTTTAAAAGAAAAATATGCGTCCCATATTATTTCAAAGTGGGTCCCACATTACTTTAATATTAATTTGAGCTACACAGCTGAAACCATGGCAGAAGCTACACAGCTGAAACCATAGCAGACAGTTAAATTTGTACACACATTAGATGCAGCTAAGCTTTTAGTCATCTGAGCCAGAAAAACAAAAGAAGATGCAGCCAGCTAAATGGGAGCCAAAAATAAGAAAAGAAGCGCAATATTGTTTCAATGCCAAGAAAGAAGCAAAAGCAATAAGTTGGCATGAAAGCCAAAGTAGTATGAATGTATGTATGTGATGTATGTAGACTCACGCCTCTGCAGGAAGAGGACCGCTAACACTGACAGGATTGCTTGCTTGACGATTCATCCCGCGCGCAACCGCCTTAAATCTACAGTAATAAATAAAAAAACAGAATTGATGAGAAAGGCCAGCACATGCACATCAGAACCCAACATCAACATGTATATATATATATATATAATCAAACACTTGTAAAGTTACTGGATCTCTTTCTGGGTCTTGTAAAAGAAGTGCACTTACTTACTCTTGTAAACAGCTGACGGTTGTATATCGAATGGAATGACCTTCTACGTACAGGAAAAGTAAAATTCTGAGCAAGTAGTTTTTGATGAGGAAGAGCTTTTGGAGCGAGTGGTTCGAATGAATATTTATGCTCGCTCCTCTTATAGCCTTGGAGGAGTTGGACAGAACGGTCCTCTTTTTCAGAATGATGTTCCAATCACACTCGCTGGGGAAGATTAGAGAGCCTGCTTCTTTCAGCAAAGACAAAGACACTCAAAGACACTCGCGGGGGAAGACCCACTTCTTTCAACTTCTTCAGCAAAGACATTTCAACTTCTTCAGCAAAGACAAAGACACTCGCGGGGGAAGACCCACTTCTTTCAGCAAAGACAAAAACACTACTCGCGGGGGAAGAACCACTTCTTTCAACTTCTTTCAGCAAATGTAAGAATAGTATTAGAAAGGATGTTTCTGTATTTACTTGACGAGTAATACAATTAGTAATACAAAGTTTATATACATAGTTGATGATGCTAACTAGAGTAAGTAGATGTGTGATTGAATACAAAATCAATTAGAGTTAATATACAAAGTTAACATAAAGATAAATTAGGAAGGGAAGCCTTTGATTGATTCTGAGGAGTTGATGATGGAGCTGCTGGAAGAGCCTTATTTGGCAACGACAAGATTGCTGGAGATGAGGCATTGATTTGCATTGACTGCGGTGGTTCCCTTATACACCCCCGCAAGATGGTGGCGCCGTCAGCAACACCAATCTTGGACCGGAGAAGTTGAAAACGGTGGCGAGACAGAGGCTTTGTGAGGGCATCGGCGAGTTGATCAGTGGTGGAAACATGAGATACCTAAAGGAGCCCACGAGTGACCAAATCACGAACAAATTGAAAATCAATGTCAATGTGTTTCATGTGAGAGTGGAGAACAGGATTGGCACAGTAGAAGGTGGCACCAATATTGTCACAGGAAATGGCAGGCGTGGAGGAAGGCATAACACCAAGTTCGCGAAGCAGGGATTGGATCCAAGCAAGTTCAGCTGCAGTGCAAGCAACGACACGATACTCAGCTTCGGTGGGTGAGCGAGTAACGGCTCGTTGTTTGAGGGAGCTCCAAGAAATAAGATTACCGCCAAGATAGACAACATAGGCTGTGGTGGATGTTCAATCATCATAGTTGCCGGCCCAATCTGCTTTAGAAAATGCAGACAAGGTAGTGGTGCGAGAGCGTTTGAGAAGAAGGCCATGGTAGATGGTGCCTTTGAGGTAGCGAAGGAGACGCTTCAAAGCTTGCCAATGAATGTCAGATGGTTGATGCATGAATTGAGATAGCTTGTTGACAACAAATGAGATGTCGGGGTGAGTGAGACTAAGATATTGAAGACTACCAACTAATTGGCGATACTTAGTGGCATCAGTGGGAGGAGAACCATCATGAAGCACGAGAGGAGCGGAAGTGGGCATGGGTGTACTGACTTCCTTTGCACCATCTATGTGGGCCTTGCTCAAAAGATCACAGATGTACTTGTGTTGAGACAAAAAAAGACCAGTGGTAGTAGGCACAACTTCAACACTGAGAAAATAATTAAGGGATCAAAGATCCTTGACAAAGAACCTCCTAGCAAGAGCATGAACAAACTAAGAAACAAGTGAGGCATTATTTCCTGTGAAAACAAGGTCGTCAACATACACAAGAAAATAAATAACAACGCCTTTACGGGGGTAAATAGAAAGAGATGCATCAGAGAGGGCATTTAGGAACCCATTAGAAAGCAAGAACGAAGTGGGGCCCAAAGCACGTAACGGAACATCTATAATACTGACGGAACGGGTAACGTGAGACCGTTTTTCAAAGGTTGGGGGGTATTTTGAGACGTTTGTAAACACATGTGGTAATCTGAGACAAGTTTGAAAGCACAAGGGGCATGTACATAAAGAAACCTATTATTTATTTGTATTAGTGCTAGTGTATTCATTTTTTTTTCTTTTTTTTTTAAATTTAATAATTGTTTAAATAGTAGAGTTTCAATTTTGCCCTTGCACGCATTGGGCACGTGAGTTTTAATTGACGGAAGTAGCCTACTTGACTTGCTAACCCCAGTGACTAAAATCGAAAAATTAAAATTTTGGTGACCAAATTTAAATTTGATCCTAATCCTAATAACCAAAAATGTAATTACTCCAAAGAAAAAACACAAAAAATAGGTAGCAAACAAGCAACAAGCACCGAATTAAATAAAGGTTTGCTGGGTTTTGTCACTAAAATTAACAATATAAGTAAGAGAAATAAAATAAAAAAGAAGGTGGGGGGATTCTAGAGAGAGAGAGGAAAGGAAAAAGCCCAAAAATCAGGTATTTAGAGCATTTCCACCCATTTGTCATTTATGTGTGTACACACAAATGTGCATCTATCTTCATCTTGTTACAAACAAATACAAATAGAAACGCTTAAGGTGATCTCTCCCAAATATTACAACCAGTGTCACAACACCACAATATTTTTTGACGTCAAATCATCAATGCATAACTCAATCAAACATTCAATTGTTCGTCAAATTCACTTCATGTACAGAGTTCACAGGTTAAAATGGAAAATATGTCTTAAGGTGATTTCTCCCATCAACCAAACAAAACACACTTACTATGTATATATCATTTGAATAATCTGAATCATATTTACATCATATTATTAGTAACATTATCACATTTCATTGTCAATTTTTCTTTCTTTATTCAAAGTTAGTTAAAGTTATTGTCTTTTTAATAGAAGCGACGTTGGGAAGGGAAAATCGAATGAATGACATTGAATCACGTTTTCCGATCCTTTTATTTTGGCGCTTCTACGTGCATTCATATCTTAAATCGAATGCAAGTGAAGTAGTGACATGGGTTCTAATTAAGTTCTAAGGGTAGCTTGCATTCATAATCTGACCATCAATCTTGTCTTTTAACTAAGCTGATCATCAATAATTAACCTGTTCAATAAGTAGTGGCATGTGCAGTTTCAACAAATCATCAACGTTTGAAGAGAAAAATTCAATTCAGGCTTCTCAAATCCGCGGAGTCTAGTGAAGTCTGCGTCTCAGAGACCTGCAGTCCAGTGAAGAGACGAAAATTAGTAACCAAAACAGTTTGGCAACATTGACCTCTGCATCATCTCCCCAATAAAAAAATTGTGTCGTCTCTGCAGAGTGAGAGAAAATCTGATTGTGTCGTCTGTGCTTAATATGGGTTGGGCCTAAAGGCCTCCATTATTATTAAAGCCATGAGCTCCAGCCCACATTGGAAACTTCTAATTTCAGGCACTTTATTCACACCCGAGGGCTTTCTCTGGACACCCATTAATATTTAATTTTGGTTTATGACAAATGACAACTATATACTCCTTTTTAAAATCAACAGGTTTAATAGACTTTTAAAATACTTATCAATTTTCTTATAACACAACCTCTCATAACAATTAGGCGTTATTTGCATACGCGAGTTATACCAGTTGGCCATTTTTTGGTTCTGAAGTAACAGCAAGTAATTAGTTTCTTTCTTTATTCAAAGTTAGTTGTGGTTGTTGTCTTTTTTAAAGAAGCGATATTGGGAAGGAGGAATCAAACATATGATATTGGACCACGTTTTCAATCCTTTTCTTTTAGCGCTTCGACTTGCATTCATATCTTAAATCGAATGCAAGTGAAGTAGTGACATGAGTTCTAGTTAAGTTCTAATTAGGGTCGATCGGCTTGCACAATCTGACCATCAATAATTAACCTCTTCAATAAGTAGTGGTATGTGCAGTTGAACAAATCATCAACCTTTGAAGAGCAAAACTGAGTTCAGGCTTCTCAAATTAGTAACCAAAACAGTTTGGTGTTGCTCAACAAAATAAGCATAGCAAGATATGATAAAATGATATTCATTAAGTACATGTCATAATCAATAATCAATAGAAGTTTAGTCTCAGTTAAACCTTTGTATTACTTCTCCTACACACCAACTTCAAAACAATACCTTGGCAACATTGACCTCTGCATCATCTTCCCCACAGAGAAGAAATTTCTCTCCCCTGTCTCTGCTTCCATCAAATCACCATATTTTCTTAGAGAAATATAGCCTCCGGTATAACTGAACACATCCACGGGCATAAGATCATCACAATCGCTCATTGAAGATGATCCAACTTGTACGGCTCTGATGCCGCCACTATCCACATCCAAAAAAACCACCATATTTTTAGATTTTGTCGAAGTAATATCTCTGAGAAAGATGCCATGTTCCCAAGCACCTACAGAACTAGGCCCAACACCATGGAAACGAAAAGGAGTCTCCCATGATTTCATACAACAAGGATCAAGATCGATTTCTACTGCGTACTTTTTTTCCCACGTGAAGTTTTTGTAACTTTTCATCACCCATATCTCAATTTGGTCATGGTGATGACTGTTTTTAGGTGATGAAATTGCCGTAACATCAACAATGGCGAGACGTCCTCTGAAATTAATCAGGTGAAGTACAGAACGTTTGCCGAAGTCTGGCAAGTTGGTATGAGGAGTCCATTCGAACTCTTCCCTTTTGAAGTCAAAAGAAAGTATTCTGAATTCAAGAACAAAAGAGAAACCATTAACTAGCCAATGCATGTTTCCATATGCAGACACAGTTTTTGCTGCTTAGACAACAAGAAGGTGGAGGAACAGAGGATATTTGTCTCCATGACGATGAGGAGCCTGTGCCCAGCTCATAAATTTGGGCCACCAGGTCGTGTTTTGGGCCGGGTCTAGAAAGACGAACAATCTTGTGGTGGGTGCTAGTCACGGCATCGTATCCCATACCATACAACTCATAGTTCCAGCGTGGCGGCAGGGCTTCATAGAAAATGGTGGTTGGTGGTGGTGGGAGGTTTAGAACTTCTCCCATGAGAGGATTGACTAGGAGGAGTAGGGCCTGATCATTTGTTGTTGACTCTTTCTTGTTGAACAAAAGCAAGCCGTACGAAACAAGCTTTAGATTGAATCTGTTTCTAAGGGAGTTGGAAATGTCAAAGGCAAATTCGCTAAAGGGCGACAATGGATTTAGAGCTCGCAAGGTGATTAATTGGGAGTTGGTAAGTGTTAATAAGCGTTAATATATATTCGGAATAAGGTACTGCATACCTTGCGGAAGATTCCAAGTGAAAAACCGCTTGCAAT